CCCCCTTCTGTATAAATACTTCCCCCCCCGCCGCCCACCGGGGGGGGACGCAAGTTGGTCAATATTGACCACGTCTCACTCACACACCGGTGAACCCTCACTCCTCACTCCTCACTACCTACCTCCTACCTCCTCTCCTCCTCCCCTCCCCCCCCCCTCCCTCCTCCTCCTCCTCCTCCTCCCGCACCTTCACAACTTGCTCCTCCTCTTCTCCGTCACTCTCGATCTCTGGGGCAAGTAGCATGCCTTGCACTGCAAACAAGGTGAACAAGGAGGAAGGAGGGAGGCGGAGCTAGCACCTTCCTCCTCCATTGCCTGCACTTGTTCGCTTCCGAAATCCGTAAACTGATGGAAGACGGCGTCATGGTAGAGGAGGACGAGTCAGGGAAGGAGAAGCAGTGAACGTAGAGCGGTGGAGGACTGGAACTGCAAGCAAGGACAAGCAAGGAGGGCAAGGTGGGGGGGAAGGAGGATGGAGGAGGACAGCAGGAAATCACATCGAACGCGCTGGCTCCACGCTGCACGGAGCTCATCGGGACTTCATCTTCCCATCCGGCACCTACGTCGAGCGGAGAGGAGGAGCTCTGTAAGAAGCAGTGAGGATGCGCGTCCTCGGAGGGAGGGAGGGAGAGGAACCTTGGGAGCAAGAGCATTGCTTGCGAGGGCCTCTAGCACCCACTCGTCATGCGCTTCCCTGAAGGAGTCGTCGGCGAGGAAGAGGGTGTCTCGTCCCGTCAGCTTCTTGAGGGCCGCGTGCTTCGCCTCTTTCTTCGTGGGTTTCTCGATGCGGGGGTGATGGAGAGTCTTGAAGAGTTTGGCTGGAGGAGGGAACATGTCAGAGGAAGGTGAGGAGAAAGGATCAAGAGAGAACTTGAGGAGAGCAGATGAACATGAGAAGACAAGGTGAGAAGACAAGGTGAGGATGAGAAGAAAAGATGAGAAGGGACGGTGAATATTCTTACGGGGAGGAGCAACGAGCTGTCTTTCTACAACTTGATCGAACGTGTGGATCGTGTTGAGCTTGTCGTTCGGCCTGACCTGCTCACAGCAATAAATCGGCGACAAAATTTACCTCCTCCCTCCCTTTTTCTTCCTCCTTCTGTCTCCCTCCCTCCTCCTCCACCACCACCACCTCCTCTTCGTCTTCCTCCTCCTCGTGCTCCTGCTCACCTTGTTGATCTTTCGGTCCTTCCTGGGAGGCTCCTGGTTGCTCGACCTCTCCTTCCTGTCCTGCTGAACTATCTCCCTCACTCGCGGCACCCTGCCTTTCCCCTTCCACAGGCTCTTCCCCTCCGCTGAGGCCTTGCTCACACCTGAGAGCAGGTGAGAGAGCGTGCGGGTAGGGGATGGATGGGAGTTCATGCGGAGGAGGAAGGAAGGAAGAGGGAGAGGACGTTCAGGACGAAGATCAGGACGAGGACGAGGACGAGGACGTTCAGGACGAGGACGAGGACGAGGACGAGGACGAGGACGAGGACGAGGACGAGGACGAGGACGAGGACGAGGACGAGGAACGAAGAAAGAAGAAAGAAGGAAGAAGGTGAGAGCGAGAAGAGAGGAGAGCGAAAGGAGGAGAGAGGAGTGGGGTGAGCGAAAGGAGGAGTGGGGTGAGGAGTGGGGTGAGCGTGTCGCGAGCAGCAGAAGAAGCAAGTAGGAGGGACTTACCAACAATCTTGGAGAGGTCGAGAGAAAGGTTATCTCGGGAGAGACTCCCCTCCTTCCCTTCCTCCTTGCCTGAACGAGTTTGACACGACGGTTGCCGAGCCTTGTCCTGCATTCCTCTTGACTCGCGAGCAAGCAGACTTGCTGCGAGCACCTCGAACTTGGTCTTGGATAACCTCGAGTACAAACAACGAGAGAGAAATCTCCTCGCAAGAGACTTGAAACAACAAGTCAACGACATGGTCAACTGATACCGGACTCACTTGTATCATAACTGCTGAATTCTCCCTCCGCTCCATCAGCAGGATTTGCTGCTCCAGCGCAACGTTCTGAGGCAAGTGAGGGAGAAATTCGGAGCAAACAATTCTTTCTCACCCTCCTTTCAGTAAACTTGCAAAATGTTCGCTAGAAACACAAGAGTTGTCAGATGACGAGTGGGATTTGCTGGAGCACAACCTGTATAATACAAGCTGCCATGTCTTCTGACATCTTTCTGACAGTCTCTACTCCTGTATGCAAGGAATGAACAACAAACATCAAGACAAGTAATCATCTACCGGCCGATGATGACTTCAGAGAAGATAAGTACATCTAACAAAACAATGAGTACAACATCTGGAAGGGAGACGACAGACGTTGAGATTCTCTCGAAAAGAAATAAGGAGGTTCATCTCAGCGAACAGATTTCGCGCCAAAGATTTCAAAATCTCATGCCGGCCGAAATCTTCTGCTGAAATTCTCTCCCGGTGTTCAACCTGGTGAGGGGTGTCAAAGGAAGGTAAAACGAGTACAATCAAACATCACAATCAGACTTTGCTTGACAAAAGCGATGAAGCTGGGACTGAGCTTGCTCAGAATGTTGTTGTTGCCCCATGACGAGTTTTCTTTCATCGCTTCCCTCATCCTCTTCATACTCTTGTTTGCATACGGTCGATTTCCAGTCGCAAAGAGAAAAGCAAGCATGCCAACAGACCAAATATCCAGCTTGTGAGGGTCTGAAACCTCCTCCTCCTCCTCCTCCTCCTCCTCCTCCTCCTCCTCCTCCTCCTCCTCCTCCTCCTCCTCCTCCTCCTTTTCATTGCCGTCATCGTCGCTAGAACTATCATCATCATCATCGTCTTCATCATCATTGTCACCATCATCCCTTCCGTCCTGTTTCCTGCCTCCTTTTCCCTCCCCTCTCCCCTTTCTTTGGCCCTCGTTTCGCCATCGAGAGGCTTCGGGAGCGACGAACTCGGTATCATCGTCAAGGGAGAAAATGGAGGTATGCGAGCTCTGCGCGAACAAGCCATATTCTCCGATCTTCAAGCATTCCACTCCCTCCTCTTGTCGACATGAGATGTTGTTAGGTTTGATACCATGCAGGATGAAGCCGAGGTCATGAACATATTTCATAGCGTCCATCAACTGCAAGCATGTGAGATAGGAGAGAAGAGTACATTGAGATGAGATGAAGTTCACCTGACTGACGTATCTGACGATCTTCCCTTCGCTGTGATCAGCATCTGCCATGATGTATGACAACACGTCTTGATGGTATGGCACTGCACTGATGACATAGAGGTTTGCAATGTCACAACAAACTTCGACCAAGTCTGCCACATTGATGTGCCGCAATTTCCGAAAGCTCTCCAGAGACGATCTCAAGAGAAATTGAAATTTCTTGGATCGCTGAGGTATCGTGACAAGGGAACAAACAGATTTGTCTCGTCGCCTCCTTGCCTCACTGACCATGAAGGATTTCTTCACAGATTTTGAGCCGAAGACATCAAACAGTCTGAAGAGCCTGGCAGAATTCTCATCTTTGGCCTTCCAATACTTGGACCAAGACATCTGAATCCTCTTTGCAGCGTCATCTTCACTGCATTTGTGTCTTTCTATAGTACAATGATCATCTTCTACCCTTCCTTCTGTTCTCAGTCCATCGTCCCAATCTCCGTCGCCTCTCCCCTTGGTATCTTCAACTTTCATCTCCACTGGTGACTTGTCTTTGCTTTGCCCATCCTTTTCTTCCTCCGTCTCACTGCCGCCTCTTCGAGCCTTGCGATAATTTTTCCATGTCCCTTGAATCTTGCTTGCTGCAATTTCTGAACTGCTTGTCTGATCTTTTGCACAAGTTTCTAACAAGCCAGATTCTCCCTTGCCATTCACCTCCTCCTCCTCCTCTTTCACCTCCTCCTCTTTCACCTCCTCCTCTTTCACCTCCTCCTCTTTCACCTCCTCCTCTTTCACCTCCTCCTCTTTCACCTCCTCCTGCTTCTCGTCTTTCTTCTCCTCCTCCTCCTTCTTGTTCAATCTCTCCACTCGATTCACCCGCTCTGGCCTTGGAATCTCCTTCTTCTTCTTTACGTTCCGATCCGTCAGAAATCCCCGAGCCTTCTCCTCCCCCACCCTCTTGTTTCTTCTCATCCCACTCCCCCTGAACGTTCTGCTACCTCTCGCACTGAACGGCACTCCATTCTTTCCTATCTTCGTCCTGAACTCCAACAGCTGCTTGCGAGCCTCCTGCTGACTTCTATCTTCCTCAAGTGACGATGAAAGCGCCAGGCACTTCCGGATCCGATCTGCCGTCCTCCTCCAGTTCTTCCTCGCTTCCTCGAGCTCAGCTGTGTTCCTCTGCACCAGGGAGGGTCGAGTCTCAGCACGAGGCTGCGTCTCCTCCCCCACCTCTTGCTTGTCCCAGCTCAGGTGGCGGAAGAACTCATTGAAAGTTACCATCGTCTCCCGCGACTCTTTGATGTTCATGGCATGCAGCAACTCGCTGCTGCGAATCTTTCCTTCCATCCTGAGGTTCTTAAGACCTCTCTCGACCTCCTGCACGCTCAGACTGTCGCCCCTGGACGTTCCCCTCTCGAAGAACACGAAAACTTCGGCAACGTCGTTGAAGCCTGCTTGCTGGAACAGCTGCTTCACCTCCCTCAAGATCTTCTTCTTCCTCTTCTCCTCCTCCTTCTGCTTCACCGAAGTGGCATGCTCCTTCTCCCTGGCCGGCTCCCTCGTCCCCGCAGGATCTCCTGCGTCCTTGCTCGTGCTCGCCTCCTCCTCTTGGCCCTCTGTGTCGTTCTGTGGAGGTATACCCGCCTCCTCTTCTCTACCATCCTCCTCTCCCGCAACGAAATCTCCTCCCTCCTCGCCAGCATCGGCGGGTTCATCAAGGGGCGAAACAGGAGCAAAGTCCTCTTGGACCTCGCTCCCGTGCTCTACCACCTGGTTGACATCTGCAACTTGCGGACTTGAAGCTTTCGCATCGTGACGCTCATCTTGAATCTGTCGAGTGTTTGCCTTACGATTCCTCGCTCTCCACCTCCTGTAAGTCCTCTGGATCAGAACAGCAGAGAGAATCTGTAGGCGGAGAAGTAATTCAGGATCAAGCTCTGAAAGATCCTCCTCCTCCTCCTCCTCCTCCTCCTCTTCTTGCCCCTCCCCCTGCTCCTCGTCGTCGTCATCTGAAGAGGAGATGTTGCAAGGGTCTACCACAGATACAACCTTTCTTTCCCGTGCTGTGCTGATACTCTCCCTATCCTCATTCCTGCCTTGTGACGCGTTGCGAGCTTTCTGGAGGTCAATTTGCTCGATGAGAGCTATCCGCTCTTCCGTTCTTGGGGTGTGTCCTTGAGAACCTCTCGAGATTTTCTTCTCCTTCTCCTCAACATTGAAGCGCACATTCCTCCTCATTGAATGTTGCGTTTCCCACAGTCTTAACTCAGCCTCGCCATCAACCTCATCAACATTTTCATCTCGGCCTCGTACTCCTCTCTCCTCCTCCCACGCCTTCTGATCCTCCGCCTCCATCCCTCGCCCTTCCTTCTCCTCCTCAGCACTTTCTTCCTGCCGATCTGCTGCTGTTCTTGATGAGAGCTGAAGAGCGCTCTCGATGATGTCATCCAGCACGCTCTTTGCTATCAGACCTTTCTGTCGCTTCTCCATCTTCTCCGTTGCTTTCACTCTGTCATCAAGCGCCTCCAGCTGCTTGCGAAGACGCTCCACCTCCTCCCGTGCATGCGCAGCTTCTTGCTCCGCCTCCTCCCTCCTCCTCTTCTCCTTCTCTGCCTCCTCCGCCGCCAGCTGGAGCATCAGGGCCTCTCTCTCCAGCCTCTCAGCCTCCGAGTCGAACTTGTTGGTGAACTCTTCGGAGCTCTGAAACTGGGCAGACGCTGACATCATCATCTCCTCCTGCTCCTGTGGCGGCTCTTCTCTTATCTGCTCGTCGAGCCTTTGGGACGGCTGGTGAGTTTGAGGCCTTCCCTGCTCCTCCTCCTTCCTTAGGGGGAGGTCAGCATCAGAGGAGACGTCGCTACCCCATCCTTCTTCCTGCTCCGACTGCAAGTCAGGGTCGACGAACTTGACGGATTTTCTTTGAGTTTCCGCCGTCCTCTGCCTTTGTGAAAAGGGCGGGGCCTTGGCTCTCTGTCCTTCTCGATGAGGTTGATCAACAGGCTCCTCCTTGGTAGTCTTGGGCTTCAGCAGAGATTTTGAGATTGGAAAGTCTTTGCGCAGACTGATCTCTTTCTCAGCGACAGAGTTCGTAATGTGTTGCTCACGATGCTTCCAAGCTTGTTCTATGAGATCATCCGTCACCTCGTCCAAGTTGTCCTCGGCTTCTTGCTTCTCTGCCTTCACTTGCTCCGGTCCAGGTTTCTTCCTGCCTTGGTTTGCATGCTCCCTTCTCCTCCACCTCCTCCCATCCTCATCCTCGTCATCGTCTCCCTCCTCCTCCGCCTGAGCAAGCTCCTGCTCGGCCTCCTTTCTCAGCCGCTCGACCTCAGCATTGTAATCCCGAAGGAAGAGAGGCGACGCGAGTCGATCGATAGGACTAGCAGTCTGGGAAGCTGAGTGCGGCGCACCCTCGACCATAGACGCTTCTCCCTCTGCCTCCTCCTCCTCCTCCTCCCCTCCCTCCCTCCCCTTCTTAACGTGCTTCTCTTCACTTCGCTTCCGCGCTGTCACCTCTCCATCTGACTCCTCCAGCTCCGGTCGAATCACAAACACGTTGCTCTCCTCCTCGTATCCCTTCACCACCCGGCGCTTCGGCTCCATAGCCTGCACGCTCACATCTGAAATCCAGCTCCTGCTGGTGTACGGCCTGCCCTCTGCCTGCTGCTGCTGCTGCTGCTGCGCATATCCTCGTGCAAGGATGATCTCTTTCTGCATGCGAAACTCTTCCTCTGTCAGAACATTCTCGTCCAGCAGAGCCTTCGCCTCCCTCAGCGCTCGAATGACGGCCGGGTCCATCACAGCAGCCGTCATGGAAGAACTGAGCCTCCCTGTCGACTGACGAGGAGAGGAAGTAGCATGAGAGTCAAACGTCTCCTCGTGCCTGGAGGAGAAGCTCTCTTCCCCCCTGGACCCATAGCTGCTCCTTCCTCTCCTGCCTTGTCCCCCCGAGACACTGGACCTCATTTTCGTCTCCTCCTTCTTGGTAAGCAGCGACTCGTTGACCCCCTTGAAGAGAGAACCCTCTGTGCTCGAGCTCCTCTCCTTCCCTCCCTCTCGCTCCTCCCTGCCTTCGCCCCACTTGGCTTTAGGAGCTCGCTTCGGCATTCCCAGGGAGAGCAGGAACGGGTCCATCCCATCCTCCGCTTCCCTCTTAGGGACAGAAAAAAACGTGACCTCCTCGCTCCTCTTGGGAGGAGCAAAAGCGACCAGCAACGCATCAGCTTCCTCGATGGCCGATGCAGGGTCGGCTCGCCCCTGATTACTGTTCTTCATCTCCTCCTTCTTCTCCCTCATTCCCATCACCACCTTCCCATCCTCGTCCTCGTCCTCGTCCTCTTCAGGGAGAGGTTTCACTGTCCTTGTTCGATCGAGATCTTCGACCTTCCTTCCCCCGTCCTCAACTTGCAAGATACCTGAAGGCTCCTCCTCCGTCTTGGAACTTTGTTCCAGTTTCAGCGGTGGGCCTTGAGAAATTGTTCTCCTCCCTTGCGTTTCCTTCTCTTCCCTCTCCTCGTTCTCCCCCCCCTCCTCCTGCGTCTCCTCCTCCTCATGACCGTAAGGAAGGATTTCCCCACAAGAACAATATTTGTCGTCAGGTCGGTTTGGTTCACCACATGCAGCGCAAACCTGAGCACCCTTGATATCCACGCTTCGCTCCAGCTCTTCTCTCTCCTCCTCCTCCTCCTCCTCACGCTTCTGACGTTCGTCTTCACTCTCCTCCTCCTCTGACTGCTCCTCCCGTTTTGACCATTGAGCAACCTTATCATTGTACAGGATGGCTTCTTGGTCCTGGTGAGAATGAACCTTCTCATTGGCGAAATTCTGCATCCTCTCAAACTTCTGCTTTCTTGCCTGACTGACCAGATCCCTCTTGTCCACTAACAGGTCAGATTTCTTGACAGACTTCAAGTTCTTCGGAGTTGGCAACCTTGCGTTCTCTTCTTCAACAGCCAGACGGCTCATCGCGTCTTCGACCTCAACCTCCTCCTCCTTTGGACTGAGAGGTCTCATCTCACTCTCAGAATCCGACTCAAAAGTTCGATCCTTGCTCGATCTCTGGGGTGCGATCTTTTTCACCATCCTCGCAGGTCTCAACTTAGCTTTCTCCTGCTCCTGCTCGTCACTTTCCTCTGATGACGAGATGTCCTGCCGAACAACAGGAGCAACCTGACTTCTCTTTACCCTGCGACGTTTCTCACTGTCATTGTTCACCACTCGCTGCTGGGAGACATTGCTATGTGAGTTCTCATCGAAGTTGGTCAATTCAGCCCTCAGAAGCATCAGCTCTCTCTCCAGCTGTAGTCTGTCTGCCCTCTCTTGCGCAATTTCTGGGTCCTCCTCCTCTATCACCTCTTCCTCCTTCCCACCATCTCTGTCTTGCTCTTCATCATCATGGTCTGGTTGGCTGCCCCTGATCCCTTCCCCTCTCCTTCTGCCTTCTCCTTCCGCAACGGTAGCATCCCCGTCATCCTGCAAGTCCTTGTCAAACCTTGCCGGAACTTTCGAGTTCGATTGGGAGGCAGCCTTCGCCTTGAGAGGAGCTAGTTTAGCTTCTGCCCTCAACAGACTTCCTTCATCGAGGTCGAGATTGATTGCACTCATCCCATCTCTCTCAGACCCTGCCCTTCTGCTCTTCGTGAGGTTCGCATCCGGGTCGAGCAATCCATCAGTCACATTGGGTCCCCTTCCAAACGTATCCATCCCATCCAACTTCGTGATCCTCCTGGGTTTGTCGCTCTTCCTCGCATTTCTCTTGGGCGCGACGATGTTGTCAGGAGCTTCTTCTTGCTCATCCTGTGCTTGACTCGCCGTGAATTTTGAATGCGCCTCAGACGGTTTTTGCGATGGAGAGGCTACAGTGCCTTGCTGTGTTGTTGCCATGACCGTGTGGCTCGAGGAGCTGTACACAACGGGGTCCATCTCTTCTCCATCCTCGTCATCGTACACTGCAGCCTGCTTCCCGCTCCCTCTGGCCCTGCTCTCCTCCACACCGCCAGCGTTTCTGCGGCGAGCTGTGGTCCTCGACAAAGTTGAAGGGAGGTCCTGAGGGGGCTCGGAGGCTAATTCTTGAGCCTCCATGCTCCCGTCTTAACACGTTTCAAAGTTTCGTCCTGATTTCATAGCGATCCTGGTCCCTCATGAAGCTGTAAGAGTTCAAGCATCAAACGGGATCTTGACCTTCGAATGGACTTGAAGGCAGCATACAACAATGCTACAACCACGAGCAGCTCCTTGCAGACTACACCGCTCCATGGTGAGCATAACGCCCAAGGATCAGTCTCATCCCCCTCCCCCTCCTTCTCCTCCATCTCCCGCCATCTCCTTCCAACTCTCTTCCCTTCGCCTGTCAAGCCGTTGCTGCCATAGCGAGGGACTGGGCGGGGACGAGGGTAATCGGTCAGAGCGGGGATGAGTTCTTTGTCGGGTGCAATGCGAGGTTGGGGGGCGCTACACTTGGTGGGTAGGAATGGTTGGAGGGCGGTGGGGCTGGCAGGAGGAGGCGCTATGGCAGCTGGAGCTTCGATGCTTCTAGCAGCTCCTCGCTCGCACTGCTCATCAGATGCTAAGAACGGCAAGTCGTGGTTTGTCAAGCCATGGACCAGCTTTCAGGCAGCAGCGTCGTTGCCAGACAAAGTAAGTGCCTTCCTGTTGTGATCGAGGAGCTGTAGACTTCCACCGAATGATCTGACGATCAGGTCCCTGGATACGAGCGCGTGCATGTCATCAAGAGGACATATTTCACGATATCATTGTTCACACAGCTGAGGGACTTGAATAGTTCTCAAGAGATATTCGTGAAGTCCGCCAGACACCTGATATCAATCATTCTCAGCGAAGCTTTGAACTTCGTTCCCTTCATGCCGAAGATCGTCAACACACCAGTGGACGGCGCTACTTACACGGGGCTGGAAATGACAGATGTCGAGAACTTGTGCGTGGTGAGCATTCTTCGCGCTGCCGACAGCATGGCGGACCACATTTCGCACCACCTGCCTGGGGTGAATGCTGCATCTGGTTCATAGGCACTTGTGCTGAAAACCTTCTTCTCAGTTGCCTGTTGGGAAGATTCTCATTCAAAGGGACGAAAAGACAGCCAAGCCGAATGTCTTCTTCAAGAAGTTTCCCAAGAACATACAAGCGTGAGTAGATGATCCCGGTGTCTCGTGAGTTGAAGGATATGAATCGACCAGGAAGCGAGTAATCTTGGTCGACCCTATGCTAGCTACAGGGGGGAGTGCAGCAGAAGCTATCCAGGTAAAAACTCCCCAAAGGATGGCCCTTGCTGATGCACATCTGGTTTCAGATATTGAAGGATGATGGTGTACCGGAACACTGTATCCTCATGGTTTGCATAGTCGCAGCAGATGAAGGGCTGCAGCTTCTCACCAAGAGGTTTCCTCAGGTCTTCTCTTTCCGCCCTTGGACGCAAACATATCGATCTGATCCCTGATGCAAGGTTCGAATCGTTTGCGGGGAAATCGACAGGGGATTGAATAGCCAGAAGTACATCGTTCCTGGATTGGGAGATTTTGGGGATAGATTCTTTGGCACAAACTGACAGTATCGCCCTGAAAAATTGCAGACCAAGCTCTGGTATGATGAAACGATTGTTTATCTCACTGATCTAACTACAAACAAAACAAATCTACTACACCAAATTTAGAAACAAACCTGAATATAGAATACTTTAAGATCTACTTGTAATGTGAGTGCTAATATAAAGTTACATTGTGCGGAAGAACTTTCCATTGCTGCCGGCATTATGAGTCAAGAGTTGACACTTGACAGGAGGGCAGCCAAAGTATTCAACTTCTTCATTCGCAAGGTTTAAGTACAATGGTGTCAGTTTCTATGCGTTCGACTAATGACTAAGGATCTATGGTTTTAAACTAATGGTCTTTGCACGCTTATGGCGACAAAACTTACAGGTACGAATCTCGTTGTTGCACTGAGGAATGGTGTAATCTGATGACGATTCAATTTCTGAATACCACGAAAACAAGTCAGCACGGAGTTTTTCAGAAAGCAATAACTCACAAGAGATCTGAGATTGGATCCTTTGCGGCAATCTTCTCATGGGAATTCTTTCCTGTGCAAGTAGAACAATCGCACATACTATCTCCACTAAGGCTGGCAAGGTTGTGGGGTTGAATGTCAGATGTTTCTAGAACCCAGGCCATGGATTCTTCTGAAGCGAGGCTATCTTCATTGTCTCCCACTTTCCTTGCGATGTCGTAAATATTCTCCTGACTGTGAGTTTCCGAGTCTGCTAAAGTCTGATTCAATTCTCCAAACGTGGCCATCGAGTCTTCGCTAGATGCGAAACTTTTTCCAGATTGCTGCTCTGTATTTTGACCAAGGTACGCATTTTCCTTCTCATCTACATGATGAAGAGTCTCTCGGGCCTTCCTATGTTTTGATTTGAAATGCCTTGTCCGCGAACGAAATTTGCGCTTGCCTTGATATCTCTGAATGACGTTGCGTTGATTTAATTCCGTCAAATCAATGCTGCAGTTTTCTTCGTTAAGTTTCCATGCAAATTTCCGATTTCCTCTAATGTTTACATGATGGTCGCGGTCAAGCAGATGGATATGCACGTCTCTTCCTTCGTATAACACCAAAGACCAACCTCTCGTTACCAACCCACGACCATTCGGATTCTTGACCTTCCCATCTGATACTTCCAAAACAACTCCTGCTGACCATCCATCTGTCTCTGGAGACCACTTTTTGTCCCATTTGACGCAGACCTGTGATCCTTTGGAGACTACAAATTCATTCTGCACGTCACGTGCTCGGTGAGTTGTGAAGGCATGCTTCAATTCATCACAGTCTTCTCCACCCTGATCATAACCTTTTACCCCTTCTGCCGATGTTTCATGTGAGAGACTGAAGGGTTCGAAGCTTTCTGCCATCTCCTTTCTCTCCTTAGCAGCCTCTGCAAGCTTCTCTGTCGTGCCCTTGACTGCGACTGCCATGAAGCGAATTCCGAACACAAACTAATAAACATGACCCTCAATTGACTACCCCAACAATGACATCCACTACCGGTACTTTTTACCTTTCTTAACCCCAAGATTCAGCTAACCCTACCCTACTTTTGGAAGAAGGTCATCATCGTAGGCGTGCTACCCCTACCGGGTACTGGAACCATGCAAAATAGGGTACGTGGTATCAATGATACCGGTTACTTTATCACAATATTTGGGGGTAGGGGTAACAATATAATCTTCATCAGGAACTTTTGAGAGGCCCCGAAAAGAGCTGGTAGGTTTGGAGGAGAAGTACGAACTATTGACGGTATAGGAACTTGTTTTTGTAAACCAAACCCTCTCTAACTAAACCTAAACTAATCCTGTTGTTCGATAGAGTAGTGGGGCCATGGCGGTGGAACGGACGCAATGGCTACCAGTCGGAGTGTAACGACAAACAGAAGACGAGAACAATGCAACTTGGAGGAGAAGAAGAAACAAATGACACTGACCGTTGTGTCCCCAAAAGAAGAGTGGGAATAACGTCGATTTTATCCTTCCTAGCACTTGTTTTGGCCTCTTGCGAAGCATCGTGGACCTCAAATACGCCTGTTGCCCTTGCTTCGAGAGGATCAAGCAGTTTAAGCTTGAGACTTCGAGGAGGAGCTGAAGGACAAAAAGAAAAACTTTCAGACAAGGAGGATCCTGTTTTTGAGGCCAGTTCAAAGTCAAGCTTTGCCAAGAGAGATAAGCTCCTGGAACTACAGAAGGAAGCACAAGCAAGATGGAAACGCGAGAAGGCACGCGATCTTGATTCTTTTGTTCATCTTATAGATGATATTGCTTTTAGGTGTTTGAAGCAGATTCACCTGATCAGAAAGACATCCAAAAATTCTTCGTAACATTTCCGTAATGCATATATGCAACACTTCCCGGCTTCGCTAACTACATGGATTGTAGATATCCGTACATGAATGGGCTCTTGCACTTGGGACATGCCTTTTCATTGTGAGATCGATTCTCTCTCAACTTTTTGCAACGTTGTTTGGTGGGAATGATTCCGAGTTCTTTAGAACGAAAGCGGAGTTCGCAGTAGGATATTACAGATTGAAAGGTTTTCTCTGCCTTTGGCCATTTGGCTTTCATTGTACAGGTTTGTCATCTCCCCTCATGGATTTGATCATCAAAGATATGGGCAGCAATAACATCGTAAAAACAGGAATGCCCATCCAAGCTGCTGCAAATCTACTGAAACAGGAACTGGGAGAAAGCGGTGGGCATTAAACCTCGTTTCACAAGAGATGCACGATTGTCATGCTCGGATATCTGCAGGTTGTCAATCGGATCTGGCTTCGGTTGGAAAGCAAAATACTTCGACGAGTGCAGGTTGAAAACGGATTTGATCTTTTGAAAGTTCTGAATTCTATTTGACGCAGGGAAATCAAAGAGTCAGCGTCAGGTTCAACCCCCGTGTATTTATGCTCGGCCACTCAGAAGTAGCCCCAGGTTTTGTTGAGCATGGGGATCCCAGAGGAACAAATTTCACTGTTTACAAATGCGTCTCATTGGTTGGAATACTTTCCTCCAAAGGTGAAGGTGGCAGGAAAAGAAATGAGCGGAGCTGAGATATGACAGGCCAAAAGAGATTTACAAGAGATGGGTCTCAAGATAGATTGGCGAAGATCATTCATTACGACTGAGGTTTGATTTCTAGCATCTGCATAAGTGCTTGCTGCAGTACCTGCCTGACTAGATATCAGGCTTCTCCGTGGTACGACGCTTTCATCAAATGGCAATTCAGAAGGCTTCAGGTCTGCGAACCTGAGCTATCATTTCGTCCAACTTTCTCGTCCTCTCCTGAGATTTGAAATGCAGTCTCTGGACAAGATCAAATTTGGAAAGAGACATTCAATCTATTCGCCTTTGGACAAGCAGATCTGCGCAGATCATGATCGAGCGGTCGGGGAGGGAGTCTGTCCGCAATCTTATACGCTGATCAAGATGAAAGTAAGTTTCTTTTGAATGACGTAACACTTGCGGTGACATTGTACAAAACAAGTTGTTGGACACATCCAACAAAGTGTTTGAGAACATCTCTTCCTACGACATATACCTGCTTGCCGCAACCTTGAGACCAGAAACAATTTATGCACAGACAAACTGTTGGGTCCTTCCACATGACAAAGATGGTAACGACGTGACATACGGGTGCTATCGCTCGCATGTTGCCAACGAGCTGTTCATTGTCGGCGATCATGCGGCTCGCAACATGGCGTTCCAGGGTTTGAGTCCCTCCTTTGGCGTCTCTGAATGCGTCGCAAGAATCCGAGGACAGGACCTCCTAGGGCTGAGAGTTGCTTCTCCCATCAGCCGTTTGGGAGAGCTTCGCATTTTTCCTCTCCTCAACATCTTCATGGACAAGGGGACAGGAATCGTAGCTTGTGTTCCTTCCGTTTCTCCCGAGGACCACATCGCCCTGCGTGACCTCGAGGCGAAGCCTAAATTTCGTGCCAAGTATGGGATCGAGGATAGCTGGATGGAGGGGCTGCGATCGGACACTGTCATCATGGCCCCGTACAAGAAGGATAAGGGGGGAGACAAGGAGGAGGAGGAGGAGAAGTGCGAGTGCATTGCTGAGCGAGCGTGTGAGGAATTCAAAGTTGCATCGCAGAACGACAGGAATTCACTTGAAATGGCCAAAATCAAAGCATACAAGATCAGTCTCAACGACGGCTCAATGACAGCCGGTCCCTTCGCTGGTCAACGAGTGAAAGATGTGAAAAATCTGATCAGAGATCAATTCATTGCAGAGAATTTGGCGTATGATTTCTCGGAACCAGAATCAAAGGTGAGGATGAGGCGATGGTTGATCTGTGTGACATGATGGAGAAAATATATGATAATGACGACCAAGACAGCAATGACGACCAAATTGAGAAGTAGGAAGAAGAGGAAGAAGAGAGAGGATGGAAATGACGATGGCGATGATAATGATGATGACGATGGTGTTGACGATAATGATGAAGATGACGATGACGATGATCAGGTGATCTCGAGGACTGGAGATACGTGTGTCGTGGCTCTTACCGACCAGTGGTATTTGAACTACGGCGAAAAGAAATGGAAGGCGCAGGCAAGTAGATTGGAGAAGTTTCTTCACTTCTACAACTCCTTTCCTTCCTTCCCTCCTCCTCCTCCTCCTTTCCCTCCACCCCCCTCCCCCCTCTCCATCCCCCCTTGCCGATCCCTCGTCGCTGCTGTCTCCTTCTCCCCTTACACGTCTTCCCACCTGCTCACCTGCTCACCTGCTCCTTCGCTTCTGCTCAACATTCCACTCATCCTTCCTTCCTCATCATCTCAAACCCACTGGCACAGGTGGAGCAGCACATCAGACAGGAGATGGAATTCTTCAGCTCAGACACCAGAGGACGCTTCCTCTCCGCCATCGACTGGCTGGAGGACTGGGGCTGCTCGCGCTCCTTTGGACTGGGAACGAAACTGCCGTGGGACGAGACTCAGGTCATCGAGTCGCTCTCCGACTCGTCCATCTACATGTCATTCTACGCCATTGCGCACCTGGTCTCGTCGTCCTCCCTCCTCAATGATGGCGATGAGGGTGCAAGCGCAGGAGCTGGAGCAGGAGGCAAGGTTGATATAGACCCTCACCTGGTCCCTGACGAGGAGTGGGATTACATCTTCCTGGATGCTCGCATGCCGGACCAGACTGTCATCCCGCAGGAACGGCTGAAGATGATGAGGACAGAGTTCAGATTCTGGTACCCGGTCGACCTAAGGGTGTCGGGCAAGGACTTGATTCAGAACCACCTTCTCTTCTTCCTCTACAACCACATCGCTATCTTCCCGCCTGAGCGCTGGCCGAGGGCTGTTCGCACCAACGGGCATGTCATGCTCAACAATGACAAGATGTCAAAGTCCACGGGCAACTTCCTGACGCTGCGCGAGGCTGTCGACCTTTACTCGGCTGACGGGATGAGATTTGCCCTCGCCTGTGCAGGAGATGCAAACGAAGATGCGAACTTCGAGCATTCAGTTGCCAACTCCGCTATCTTGAAGCTCACGTAATGATGCGCTACATCAGTTCGTTCTCGTCTTGATGACAGCGTTCACCCTCCCTCCCTCCCTCCCTCCCTCCCTCCCTCCCTCTCACTTGCCTTCCTCCCCTTCCCTCCCTCCCCTTCCCTCCCTCCCTCCCTCTCCCTCCCTCCCTCCCTCTTTCCCTCCCTCCCTTCTCCTACTTTCCCTCCCTCTTTCCCTCCTGTTCATTCTTCCTACTTGGCCCCCTGAGTTTTTTGGCAGGAATGCGTTGAGATTTTTTGAGACTTCAGTTGCGCTGCTAAAGGTGAGCCAAGAATTCCATGTCTTGACCATCACATCACAGCACACCACATCACATCACATCACATCACATCACATCACATCACATCACATCACATCACATCACATCACATCACATCTTCTTCCGTTTGTTTCCGTTCCCTTCGTCTGCTGCTTCTCAGCTCTCTTCCCTCTGCCCTCGTTTCGACCCATCTCAACTCACCTGATCTCACCAACTTCGTCAGGGAGAGAGCGGAGAGAAAGATTACACAATTCGCGATGAACCAGAAAGTCTCCACCTTGCCGATCGCATTTTCAGCAACGAGCTAGCAAGGTCTGCGAACATGATTGTTCATCTTTCACCTGAGTATGAACTTGTCAGGTACGCACGGATGGCAGACAACCACTATGCAAAGCAACAGTTTCGAGATGCTCTGATCTGCGGCTTTGACCTTCTGCTAGGCGCAAGAGACAGGTCAAACTCATCGCGCCCCTCGTTACTTGTGATGTCAACCCGTACAGGTATCGCAACATGGTGCGAGCCATGCACGATGGCGGCTATCTGAAAGATCTCCTCCTCCGCTTCCTTCAGTACCACACCGTCCTCATCGCCCCCATTTGTCCGCATTACGCTGAGCACGTCTGGTCGATGCTCGGTGTGAAGCAGAGCTTGTAATGGGAGGTGACTGAGATGGCAGGAAACGCGGATAGTGTGATGCATGCAAGATGGCCTGAAGTCAAAGAAGAAGATGCAGGTGCGGGGAGCAAGTTGGGTTGTCGTCAGATGCCTTAGGTCGAGGTGACATGGGCTGGGAAATCTGTGAATGTGCTATGATTTCGACGAGTGAGATGAGCTGAGAAGTGTCTTTTTGTGTTATTTTGTTGACCAGTGCCATGTCGTCATGTTGACATTTGACATGTCTATCAGCACTTACCAGAATGACCAACTACATCGACAAGCTCGTCGTTGAGCTAAGTGAGACTGTACGACCGCGCCAGCAGCTGGTTGACTGGGATCATGTCAGGGTTGCAAGTGGAGAAGATGAGCAAGAAGCAGAAGGTTGAAGCCGTGGAGATTTTCATCTCTACCTCCTGCTCCCCCTGGCAGGTCACTTGCTTAGAGGTAACCTCCTCCTCCTCCTCCTCCTCCTCCTCCTCCTCCTCCTCCTCCTCCTCCTCCTCCTCCTCCTCCTCCTCTCCCTTTCAAGTTGTCGATTATGGTGTCCTTGTTCACTCAAGACCCCTCTGCTGATACACTTGTATTGTGATATTCTGTGATGTACTTGTATGGTGATATCCTGATGTAGGTATATTGTGATATTCTGATGTAGCTGTGTTGTGATATCCTGAGTTACTTGTATGGTGATATCCTGATGTACGTGTATGGTGATATTCTGATGTACTTGTATTGTGATATCCTGATGTAGATATATTGTGATATCCTGGTGAAGATGTATTGTGATATCTTGGTGAAGATATATTGTGATATCCTGATGTAGATATATTGTGATATCCTGATGTAGATATATTGTGATATCTTGGTGAAGATGTATTGTGATGTATTCCGACATCCTTGTAACATGCATCTCAGATTCTTCGTAATCACTTAAAGGATGGGAAATCGTTCGACAAAGAATTCAAGAAAAGCCTGCTGAAACACCCTGACTTGCACAATCTGAGCAAGGCCGAGGTCCTCCTCCCTCCTTCTCCTCCCTACTCCTTCTCCTCCATCCTCCATCTCCTCCCTCCTCCCTCCTCCTTCTCCTCCCTTCTCCTTCTCCTCCCTTCTCTTCTAGTTACACTTCCTGCTGTTCCTCTCCCCTGACGCCGTTACCCCTTGCAGACGAAAAAAGTCTTGCCTTTCGTGCAGTTCCGCATCGACGAGTTTGAGCAGAGGGGGGAAGAGGTAAGAAATTCTTCCCCTCCTCCTCAAGGGATTGACTTTGCCTGCAGGCCTTCGAGGACGGGGTTCCCTTTGAGGAGGAGGCAGTTGTGCAGGAACTGACCTCCTTCCTCCTATCGGAACTTCCGCTCTCCTCTGTCAAGGTGTGCGACTCCTCCTAACTCTCCTTCTCCCTCCCCTTGCCTGTCTTTACTTTTCCCCTCCTCCTCGTCCCTTCTCCTCGCTCTGCGCGCCTGCGTCCGCCATCCACGACCTTGCTTTTATCCTCCTTTCCCCCTCCCGTTCCCTTCCGTCTTCTTCCCTTCTTTCCTGTTCTTCCCTCCTCTTCCTCCCCCTCCTCTGCTCCTCTCGATGTCCGTGAACGAGGAAGCAGGTCGTGAGATGGCAGGAAGAGCATCAGCAGCTGGTTGAGCGACCGCTGCCTGGAACTCCTTCCTTCCACTTCTCGTGAGTTCTTGAGGAAATGGAGACTAGGACGAGGAAGAAGAGGTGGGGGAAAGAGGGGGAAGAGGAAGAAGAGGCGGAGGGGGGAGAGTAAGAAGAGGGAGAAGGGGGGCGGGGGGGGGGGGGGGGGCCTCCCGTGTAGATATGAAAAGACAATTTCAAGTAAAAATATCAACCACGTCTCTCCTTGACACCCTCCACTGTCACAAAGAACCTCCTCCTCCTCCTCCTCCTCCTCCTCCTCCTCCTCCACCACCACCACCACCACCTCTACCCACTCTACGCTCCTTCCTCTATCGTTCTCTTCTGTCATCCTGCCTCCTCCACCCTTGATCCTCCTCCCCTAGTTCTCGTCGTCCTCGTTGTCGGATACCGCACATGCGTCTGCTCCCTTCGCCTGCTGCCTCTTGCAGTAGTCCAGCAAATGATTCCTGTCCACCTCCCGCAAGCCCTCCGCCACTTGCTCAGCAAAATCCATGCCCTGATTCAGCAGTCAGCTCCTCCTCCACTACCACCACTTCTCGTCCTCCTCCCCCTCCCCCTCCCCCTCCTCCTCCTCCTTCTCCTCTCATTCTTCCCATGAACTCCTTTCCCATCCGCCTCCTTCCTCCTCCCCCTCTCTCGCTCTGACCTCGTACAGTCGGAGCAGGTGGATGATGGCGCGTTGGGAGTTAGCGGCGACCTGACTGTCCTTGTCGCGCAGGGAGGCGAAGACGGGACCAGAGGCAAACTGAAACATCTCCATGCCGAGTCGATCGATTTGCTGCAATCGACTTAGAGGCTGGAGGAGGAGGAGGAGGAGGAGGAGGAGGAGGAGGAGGCGGGGGGGGAGGGGGATTGGAGGGATGTCTTGATGGAGGAGGATTTGGGAGGTTGTGCGGGGGGAGGGGGGTAAAAAGGAAAGAGGGGGGAGACTTACGACAATCCTGCAGGCAAGTTTGAGCTCCACCAGCGCCTGTGCCTTCACTTCCGGGCTGCTGTCGCTCACAAGCTGCACCAGCCAGCGCCAGAGCTGCTGCTCGACCACCTGCTGCTCCGCATGCGAGAGGAGGAAGCGAAGAGCTCCTCCGATCACCTGCCAGGCATGAGCGCCAGACAGAATAAGGACCAGCAAGGGCAGAAGGACTGGGAGAAGGAGGATGAAGGAGGACGAGGACGAGGACGAGGACGAGGACGAGGACGAGGATGAGGACGAGGACGAGGACGAGGACGAGGACGGGGATGGGGACGAGGACGAGGACGAGGACGGGGACGGGGACGGGGACGAGGATAAGGACGAGGACGAGGACGAGGATAAGGACAAGGACGAGGACGAGGACGAGGACGAGGACGACGAAGGAGGGTGGTCACACCTTTGCAGCTGCTTCTCTTACTGGCACTCTATCGTCACCGACAATGGTCTGCACTGACAGTCAGAGGAGGAGAAAAGAAAAGAAAAGAAAAGAAAAGAAAAGAAAAGAAAAGAAGAGGAAAGATATGGACCGCGCAGGAGAAGTGCGAGCAGCAGCAGCAAGAGGAGGAAGAAGTTGAGGCGCAGCGGCAGCAGCAAGATGAAAAGGAGGAGGAGGAGGAGTAGGAGGAGGAGCAGCAGCAGCAGCAGTCGCTCACCTTGAACCTCCCGGTCACCTTGACAACCTGAGGCACAGCAGCCGCGCGTCCCCCGAGGAGGAGATGCTTCAAGAGCGCGGCGAGCGCGAGAGCCTTCCCGTGCCTCTTGGTCCACTCGGTCTCAGCCTGCAGCAGCTCCTCCAGCTCCTCATCCAGCTTCCCTTCCTCACTGCTCGCAGCGTGCGCGCCCATGGCGGCAGCTGTGGCGGAACGGACGTCCTCGTCGTCGCTGCGCATGAGCTCGAGGAGGAGGGAGACGACGTTGGCGATGACGGGAGGGGAGGCGGAGGCGCTGGCTCTGCCCAGCACGACCTCGAGAGCCTCGATGAAGCTGAGCTGGACTCCTCCCTCGTTACTCTTGGCTCCCGCCAGCAGGTCGTTGAGCAGGGGGTCGACACGGGGGCTCATGCGGACAAGGAAGGACAGAGCGCGAATGGCGCGTCCTCGCACGACCTTGTTGGGCTCGGAGAGCGACTTGACGAAGGTGGTCTGCAGCTGGGGGAGGAAAGGCTTCATCATGATCCCTCCCTTGACGAGGAGGAGGGAGAGAGTCTTGAGAATCGCGCTCTTGACCTGCCAGGGAAACCTGTCCCCAATGATGCGAATCAGAGGGCCCGACATCTGTACCACCATCGGCTTCAGCGCCGCCTCTCCCGTTGCCTGCACCAGGATCCCCAGCCCTGCCGCTGCCTGCTCGCGCAGCTCGGGGGTCGACCCGTGCATGAGCGCCTGGAGGAAGAAGGGGAGGAGAGGGGCGAGGCCCTTGGTGCGGTTGAACCCGGGGACTCCAGTAGGAGGAGCCACGGCAGCAAGGGACTTGACCTCCTCGAACACAAGACCGACGTACTCCGAGCAGCTGACTGCTGGCGCCTTGTCGTCCTCCTCCTTGTCTGCTCGCTCCATCGCTGCTGTGAACGCGAGCAAGGCAGCATGTGCCTGCACCTGCACGGCCTCCTCTTCGTCGCCAAACAGATGCACCAGCGACCGCACGATCTCCGCCTTGTGATCCTCGTACTCGTGCTGCGTGCCAGCGCAGAAGGCTCGGAGGAGGCGAGCGGCACTGGCCCGCGTCTGTGCTGTCGTCACGTCCTCCAGGCGGCGCAGCAGCTCCAGCAGCATCATGCGAACGCCGTCCTGAGTGACAGCCAGCACCACCTTCTCGGCTGACAGGGCGATCGACTCCGGGTCGTCTCCGTCCACCATCCCGTCGCACAGGGCGGAGAGGATGGTGGGGATCTTGGACGACAAGGCGTCTCCTGCCACTCCAGCCAGCGCCCCGAGGGCCTTGGCGTTGGACGCGGACATGGGAGGGGCGGCAAGCTGCGGGATGAGGAAGGGGAGGACGATCTTGCCGCGGACTGAGAGGAGCTGGCGGAGGCCCTCGAGGGAGTTGGACGCCTCGTCCTCGAGGTCGGTAAGCAGAGCAGGAACGATGTCCTCGATCGCTCGCTGCCCAATGGCCTTGAACAGGGCGTCGAAGGCTCTGCCGGACGCCACGCGCACATCCCTGTCCCTGTCGCAGAGGGCCTGGCGGACAGTCAGGATGAGCTCGTCCATGTGCTGGAGGATCTGCTGCTTCTGGCAGTTGGCGATGACTTCGGAGAGTCCGAGGCAGACTCCGGCTCTCTCCAGCTCGTCCTCTGCCTCCAGGCTCCTCTGCAGGATGGGGATCACGTCGTGCAGGACGCGGTCGCCCAGCTTGCCCACCATCTCTCCCATCGACCTCCCGGCCACGAACTTCCTCTCCTCTGACTTGCTCGACAGGCAGCGGATAAGAGTGTCCATCAGCGTCCTCAGGATGTTCTTCAGCGTTCGCAGCTGCGACTGCACCACCGACTTCCACACCTGGAAGCTTGCAGAGCACACGGACTGATTCACGTCCGAACGCAGCATGTAGACAGCAGCAAGCAGCACGTTGCATCGCTCCTCCCCGAGCACCTCCGCGATCTTCGCCTCGCTGTTCTTGTCCCCCGTCCCCTCGTCCGAGTCCTCCACGGTCCCGCTTGAGTAGATCTTCCAGTTCCTCCCTGTGATCTTTGACAGCACGTCTCCCAGCAGCTGCACTGACGACGATCGGATGCGCCAGGCCTCGTCGAACAGCCCGCGCTCGATGGCGGGCAGCACCAGGGGCATGGCAGTGTCGGCGAAGTGATCGACCACGTTGTGTCCAGCCTTGAGGGCCACCTGCCGCACGGAGTCGCTCTCGTCGGCGAGCCCGGACAGGATGGCCGGGAGGATGCGAGGGATGAAGGATTCCAGACTCTCCCCCATCGTGTTCGGGAGCGCAGAGAGCAGCATGAAGTATCCCTCCCGCACATGCGCGGCCTTCGCCTTGCACTGCACCAGCACCTCCTCCAAGATCCCCTCCAGCCGATCCGTCGGGCAGGAGCCGAGGACCTCGGACAGACCCAACGCTGCTCCTCCTCGCTCCACCACGCTTTGGTCGGACTTCATTGTTGCAAGGAGGTACCTCTCCAGCTCCTCGTAGTCCTTGTCGTCCATGCTCTTCACCAGCGACCCGAGCGCCTTAGAGGCTGTGCTCCTCATATCGGGCGAGGGATCCAGGATCGAGTTCTTGACGATGGGCAGGATCTCCGGCAGGTACGGCGCTACGTCCTTGGGGTCCGCCACCAGGTTGCACATGTTGCCGACGATGGTCGCTGCCTTCTTCTTGAGGTCTGTGCTCCTGTGCTTCAGCCCTCGCTGCACCATCGGCACCATGAGAGCGAGCGAGGGAGCGTCGACAGCGTTGACGAAGGTCGTCTCGATCACAACCTCCAGTGCTCTCGCCGTCTTGTCCGGGTCTGACAAGGACTCGATGAGGATGGGAGCGATGGCCAGGATCTCAGGGTTCTTGATGACACTCCCGACGTGCCCCAGGGCCACCTGAGCTCCCTCCCTCACCTTCTGGTGCGTGTCTGACACGGCTGACGCCATGACAGGCACGATGGTTGGCAAACAAGTTCCCAGCTGACGAGGAGCGCAATAGGCCATGGCGCCGAGCAAGTCGAGAGCTGCGGCCTTGGTGCGCCATGCTCTGTCTTCGACACCCTGGAGGAGAGCAGGCATGACGAGCTTCACACCCTGGCCACTCAGCTGGGACATGACGGCTCGAGCCGACGACTCTCCCGCCTCCCGCACGGACTCGTCCTGGTCGCCGCACGAGTTGAGGAGGATGGGGAGGATCTGAATGACATAAGGCTCAAAAAGTCTCCCCAATCGATCGGAGAGACACTCGAAGCCGAAGAGAGCTCCCTGCCTCCTCCACGCGTTCTTCTTGTCGTTGGCTGCAGCCTGACATGCACGAGTGACAACCCTTCTCTCAAGCCTTCCCTTCCTTCCCCTCTCCTTCTCTCTCTTTCCTTCTCTTCCCCCTGCGCTCCTCCTCCCTCCCACGTTCTCCTCTCTTCCATGTCTCCTCTCTGCTCCTCAACGAGCCATTTCTCTTCACTCTCATCGTCGGCTCACCTGCAACGTCGGCATGATGTCATGCGCCTTGAGCGCTGAGATCCCGATGCCTTTGACCATCCCGGCGAGACCGAACGCAGCCCCTCGCCGATCCCCGTACGTTTGACCCTCCAGCATCATCTCGATCATCTCCTTCACCATCCTCTTCACCTCCTCCGCGTCATCAAGCATGTTCATGAGGGGTGACAGGGCCTGGGACGCCGATCGCTGAACAGACTCTGACGGGGTTCCGAGGGCGAAGATCAGCCGATTGACCACGTCCTTGACCTGCCCATCAGCAGTCAGCAGTCAGCAGCACGATGGCGGGGGCTGCAGACGTCACCTTAGGGTCTCCCTTGGGGAGGAACTTGGCAAGGGAAGCAAGGAAGATGACGCAGCCCTCTCGCAGCAGGTCCGCCTGCCACGTGCCCGAGTCCGGCTTGTTGAGCTGCGTCTGCAGCATCGTGCTCAGAAGATCCATGGCGCCCTCTCCATGCAGCTCGATGAGCCGAAGGCCGGCCTTGATGATGTTGGCCCGAACATCTTCGTCGGGGTCGGTGAGGCCCTGCTCCTTGTCGGAGACGAGGAAGGGGAAGAGGATGATAATCTCTCTCTTGGAGACGTGCTCTGCGATGGAGGAGAGAGCTGTGGCGACTCCGCTGCGGATGACGGGATCTCCCTGCTTCTCCTCCCCCCCCTTGTTCTCCGTGTAGAGGGTCTTGAGCTGAGCCACCAAGTCCGACGCGAGCCCGGGGCTCTGCTTGATGAGGGTGGACAGACAGTCTCCCGCCGCCTTCCTCGCGTTCTCGTGAGGATGTGCTAGCAGCTTCGTCAGCTGCTCGGGCTCGAGCGTGTCCGTCTTGAGGTTGCAGGAGGAGGCGATCTCAGACGCCATGCTCGCCACCGTTGCGTCCTCGTCGTGCTGTAGGAGGAAGAGGGTTGAGAGCAGAGCAGGATGAGGCTCCGGACCCGGAAGCCCCTGGACCCTCCTGAGACCCTCCAAGCAGGTGACGCGGACGGCAGGAAAAGTAGCCAGGCAGCCGTCGAGGAGCTCGCCGATGTCGTCGGGGGCGAGGAAGGAGCAGTTCCTGTGCAGAATCTCGCTCGCGCTCTTCCTCAGCCGAGCGTTCTGCGACATCACCTCAACCATCACCCCCACAATCGCAGACCTCGGCAGGTCCTCGTCCCTGTAGTGCATCCCCACCATCTCCACCGCCGCCTCCACCGCCTCCATCCCCACCGCCGGATTGAGGATCACGTAACGGAGGAGCGGGAAGAAGAGGGAGAAGGAGGCAGCAGACAAGAGGCCCATCATCTGGACGTTGCCATGGACAGCGTTGATCGCTCCTCTCGCGATGTTCCTCCTGTCGTAGTCGTCCCTCAGGCTCCCGCAGTGGATGGCATACAGAGCCTCGGCGATGAGGAGGGGGAACGATCGTTCGCAGGTGGAGGTCAGCGAGTAGATCACGTCGACGATCATGTCGGAGAGGAGGGGAGAGAAGGAGAGCGAGCAGATGCAGGAGAGATCCGCCAGGTACGCGTGCGCCCCCTGCTTGTTGCCGTCGCAAAGGGCCTTGAGGACGTTCAGCGCAGTCCTGACCCTGACAACCGCCTCCTGCACTCGCTCGCGGACCTGGTCCAAGGTGTCAGGTACAGTCCCGTCCTTCATCCTCGCCCTCGCCCTCCTCATACCCTCCTATTAGCCCTCCTACTACCCCTCCTACTACCTCTCCTCTCTCTTCTTCTCCTCCTCTTGCCTATTTCATGCAGACCCTCCCACTCGCAACGTCCATTCTCATCCTCCTCCTCATCATCATCATCATCATCATCATCATCATCACCATCATCATCATCATCATCCTCATCCTCATCCTCACCTCTGCCTCCTCCGCCAGCTTGGCCTTGAAGACAGCTTCTTCCTGCTTCGTCATCTTGGGCTTCTCCTGCGCCTTCTTGCTAGCCCCGAGCTCTTTGGCAAGGTCACCGTAGAGCTTCTTGTCTTGCTTGCTTATCCTCTGGTTCACGTCAACCCTCACCTCCGGCACGTACCCGCTGTCCATGCTCGGGTTCTTTGCCAGCTGCCCCTCGGGGGTGCGGTAGATGATGATGTCCCAGGAGGAGAAGGAGAGCGTCTCAGGCTGCAGGTCCTCCCGCACCAGATCCAGCAGCACGGGCATCAGCACGTCGACCGAGAGGATCGAGAGGGAGCGGAGACTCTCGATCGCTGCCCTCGACCTCGACGGGTTCTCGCTGCTTGCTCCCTCCTCGCCAGCAAGGAACTTGCAAAGGTTGTCCGCGTTGTCGCGCACGAGATCCTTGGTGGAAGAGCTGCTCTCCACCTCCATCTTCCTCCGCAGCCGGTCCCACAAGAACGGGACTCCTTCCTTGCTCCGCCCGTTGGCAGCCGAGAGGATAAGGTCAGAGTGCGCCATGAGCAGCAGCTTCGAGAAAACGTCGGGGGGGATGGAGGAAGGCACGATCGACAGGATGGCACGACCGTAGCGCAGGCTCGCGTGAGTTTGCGAGCTCCGCTCCTCGGAGCTGCCGGCTGAAGCCTTCGCCTCACTCAGCGAAGAGATGTCCTTATCCAACGTGTCGATCAGGCGTTCAAGCACGCCTTGCTCGCCCATCAGCTTCTTAACCGCCTGCGTCGCCGACTTGTGCACGGAGAACGTCGGGTGCGACAGGAGCTTGCAGAGAGCAGCAAACAGAGGGGAGGCATCCTCAGGTTTGAGCTTGCGCAAGAATTCTTGCTGCTCCAGGAAGACAAACTGGATGATCTCAATGCTCGCCTGCAGCTGCTGCTCGTCAAGCGCCTCGTCCTGGATCAGGGAAGGCAGCTGCGCGTTCTGGGAGGTCACAAGGTTCCACGCCTTGGCCTCGTTGAGCTTCGCGCTGATCTTGGCGTCAACCTGCACGAGGCGCAGCAGCAGCTTGAGCCCCATCACCGCAGGCGGGCGATAGGCGGGCTTCTTCTCCGCATTCTGCACTAGCTTGATGAGAGGGGCTGCCAGCTCCAGCCCGCTGCTCGCGGCTTCCGAGTGCTCGAAGCCATGGGCGATAGACTGCACTGCCGAGGCTCGCAGGACGTCACTGCTTCCCTCCAGGGTCTTCGACAACATCTTGACGTAGTCCGGTGTCACCTTCCCCGTCCTCTTCACAACCTTCCCCAGCAGCTCGAGGCCGGCACACTTGGCCTCTTCGTTCAGCTCCTTGTCCGTCATGGCCACGAGCTGCGCCATATTCTCCTCGAGCATCGGAACAATCCCCTTGCTCTTGCACAGGGTTGCAATCAGCAGCAGCCCCTTGAAGATGCCGATCCTCTCCTGCCACGTTCGCAGCTGACCTTGCTTTCCCTTTCCGAACAGAATCTTGGCTAGCTCGCTCCCCAACGCTGCGAGAGCTGTCGACTCGCTGCTCTGTCGCGTGAGAGCAGCGAGCAAACTCAGCACGGCATCTTGAACTTTCTCTTGGGTGACTCGCTCCCGGACAACGGTTCCGAATTCCTCCAGATACCTTGACATGTCGATGGTCATAGCTTCGATGGAGGCTGAGAGAGACTCTAAGTAGAACTCGGGGGTTCGGCGGAGGATGTTCATGCATTCCGGCACGAGCTTCGCCACATCCTCGTGAGTCAAGAACCGCATGAGCCCTGAGAACGCCTTGGTCAAGGCCTCCGAAGGCTTCCTCCCCTCGCGCCCTTGCGTCGCCTCCTGCACGTTGGCGACGTACATCTTGATCAGATCCTCCTTATGCATCGCAAACTCCTCAGTTGCTCTCTTCGAAGTCGAGCCCCAGAAACTGCACAGAGCGCTCGAGCCTCCCAGCACCTCCATCGGGTCCTTCATGGCTGACGCAGACGCCAAGAACACCTTGAAGAAATCCTTGATCCCATGGAACAGCAAGTGAACTCGGGCCATGCAAGACTTGACGAGCTTCGGTCTGGCATGAGAGCAAACCTTTCCTAGCGTTTGACATAACAGTGGAGCGCATTTCGTAAAGAATATATCAGAGTCTCCTTCGGCTGACTTGGAGACGTGGAGGAGAAACCGGCTGGTGCAAGAGACGAGAACCATCCAGGCGTGCGCGTCCGTCGCTCTCTTGCTGCCGCCGTTAAGGGCAGAGAAGCATCCCTCGTTGCAAAGCTTTCCACCCCTTCGCAGAACAGCTTGAAACAAGCTGAGGCTCGTTCTCCTGGTTTGCGGGTCATACGATCTCGACAGGCTTTCAACAAATATCTTCAATGTGGACTTCAGTTCTTCCTGTGACATTTCATCTGGTGCAAAGAGTCAAAGGCCGTTGACTAGCGCCTCCTCCTCCTCCTC